GTTGAGTAGATATTTGCTTAGTTACAGTCTTACTGTCTATAATAGTCTGGTATATGATCATAAAGGAGATGTTGCTTTCCACAGTTTAAAACAAGCGATGCTCATTATAAGCTGTAATAGTTCAATGTGGTCAGATGGTTTATTGTTTCTGTTAATGGTTACAAACATCACAGACTTCTAACAGGGATCATAGTTTAGTCCAAACTCCCGGAATCTGTGGCGGACTTCCTGAGCTCTGTAACAATCCTTTAAAAGATGCTGTTGTATCTCATTATCATTGTAGTTCATCATTGGACATTTCTTTGTTGTTACATAACAACTCCAAGACACAACAGCTCTAATATTTTGTTTCATACAATCACTATACAAGAAAAATCCTCAACATAAAAGTGAAAAATATAAATTAGCTTGACTGGCTCTCCTCAGATATTTGTTTTCTATAATACATTATGATACATTTTACATTTTATGTCTTCATCAGTGTTGACAGACAGTCTCAAATCAGGTTACATTGTAACAATAATAGAAAACCTCCCTAACATCTGGAGATAATAACAACAACAGTAACAATAATAACCAGGACCTTGCTCTTTAAGGTGAAAGTGTGGTGGCTCTTAAAAGAGCCTTTAGTCGGACACAATCAGACTGCTGACAGCTCACTTTCTTCTTGGGTGCTGCCTTCTGGCTTTGGGCTTTGCAGCCTTTTCGCGGGGCTTTCTTGGCTGCAGGAGCTTTCTTCACCACCTCTTGGGGCTCTTGGTGGCCTTCTTGGCTCTTGGCCACGGCTTAAACTGCCGCCGCGGGTTTCTTGGCCTTCTTCGGGGACTTCTTAGCGGCTGCGGGCTTGGCGGTGGTCGCTGCTTTGGGCTTTTGGCCGCTGCTGTTTCGCCTTTCTTGGCTCCCGCTGCTGCTGCTGCTGCTGCTGCGGGCTTCTTGGCTTTAGGATCGGAGCTTTCTTGACTGCTGCTGCCGGCTTCTTCTTCTTGGCCGCGGGCTCGGCCACGTCTTCTTGCTCATCTCGAAGGGATCCGGAGGCCCCGGTCCCTTGGGCTGGACCAGAGTCCCTTTGGCCACCAGGCCCTTGATGGCGGTCTTGACGCGGGCCTTGTTCTTCTTTTCCACATCGTAGCCTCCGCAGCCAGAGCTCTCTTTGAGGGCGGCCGCAGACACGCCGCTGCGCTCCTTGGATGCGGCCACAGTTTTCGGGATGAGCTCGCTGGACGCTGGGGGGCCGGCCTTCTTCGGTTTGGAAACCTTCTTCTTGGCTGCTTCAGCCGGGGGCGGCGGCGGCGGCGGAGCTGGAGCTACTTCGCCATTGTCAACTTAATGTTGTCTTCCTGCTCGGCGCGATACGACAGTGACACTGAGTGTTGGAGAGTCCGGAGCAGGAGGCTGCCCTTAAACACACCATGAGGACCGTGGAGACTAACCGGCCTCTGCCTCCTGGATGGGGGCTCTACACTTGTGTTTTCTCCTCATCGATAAAACGCTCCAAACTCAATGTGGGACAAGTGCTGGAGGCTGACGGTGAAAGGAGCCGATAGCGGACTTGTGTCTCTTCATATTCAGCTCTTGTAGAGCTCTGATGCTCTCTGCATTTTCTTTGGGGAGCCTCCAAACCTCACATATTCACCGTCCTGAGCGGCGCTTCTCGGCGGCTTTTAACCCTCATTTCCTCTCCGGAAATCATTTCAAATGCATCGCAGCTCCGTCAAAACATCGTTTTCCAGTCGCTCCACATGTTTGTTCACACACTCAAAGTAAAAACAATCGTCTGCTGATGATCACTTTGGGATAAAATCAACTTATTCTGCTCGCAGCAAACACACACCCTGATGATGGCTGAGACTCACGGTCACACACTTCACTCAGAGCTGATCATCGTGGCTGAGTTTCACGGATCAATATATTATTGTTAAAACACTTTTATCACACATTTGTTGACTGCTGATGTTGAAATTGAGGATTTGGACTTTGTTCAATAATATCATAGTAACATCAGTTCAGATTAAAATACTTGTACTTAATCAAATATCTCCAGCAGCATTATTCATGTGATTATTATTATTATTATTATTATTATTATTAGGGAAGTTACACAGACATTCAAAAACAAACTGCATTGTATTTTTACTGCAGGCATAAAACTTTGTCCTCTGGCCTCATGCTGAACTCAATAGTGTTGGTTTACTATCTGAATTATATTTGCCTTCAAGCATGTAGGAGAAACTATGGTAGACTGTGATTGTTTACTAATGAATTTATTCTCTATAAGTGGTGATTTGATTCCTGAAGGGCAGAAAAAGTATAAAACTCCTGATTAAACATAATTCATGATGTTATAAATATTGATGTCCAGTCAGAGACATTTTTTAACATCAGCAGGACTATGAAGAGGAGTTCGTTTAGGTGGCAGGCATTGTGCACAAAGGGACCATGTTTAAATTCAACATCAATGTTTTTTCATCTGTGAGTCTCCATTTGTGAAATGCACTGAAGGCCACAATGCCTATCAGGGACTGTGAACGCTGTTATGCTATCCACATGTTATAGATAAACAGTTGTTGTGTGAGTCCAGAGATACTCTGGAAATAGAGTCAAAACCTTTAAATGTTTAAATCGAGACCTAAAATATTGTAGTGAGGAGATGTGGAGAAGCTCTGTCTCCATCAGGAGGAGCTGCTGTGTCTCATCTTCACTACAATGAATCATGGACATTTATTAGTTTTAATAAAGAAAACGATGAGACTACAGCGTCCACAGGACGTCTGCTAACAGAGATAAGACAACGGACCTCTGTTTTTGTTTGTAACCTCTGTACCTTCTCCATCAGCTATATTCACGAAACCCTCCAACAAAATTGTTATTTTTAAATATAATTTTTACTAGTAAGATGACACCATTTATTTGGAGATGCTTCTGTTCTGACACAAAATGTATATAATAAAGGCCTTATCTTGCTCTCGTCTCTTTTCCCACTCAGAGAGGTCTGCAACCCAGGGAGCTCCTCTGAAATGGCAGGAAGAGGGACATTTTTAACAAAAACAATTGTTAAACGGGATACTTAGATCTACAACCCCTAACCCCCGAAATTCTTTACTCTTGTAAAACTCTTTTGTTACTTGGTTGTTCCCAAACACAGTTTACACACTGTTTGTTTGGTTGTTAGTGGAAATGTCTGCTTACTAAAGCTAAGTGGAAAGAGGGAGGCCGAGGACTAGTGAGCATCAAGGCCACTATCCAGGATGAACATCAAAAATCCAAGAGTACATCAGTAAAATGGGCCACCAAGGATGAACTGCTAAAGTGAATGTCCTGTGCAACAGAAACCCGATAAGAGTGCAGAGGAAGAGGAGCAGACAACCTGAGAGACATGCCCCTACATGGCATGTACCATCACAAATTGAAGAAGTGGCTGATATCGAGAAGACCTACCAATGGCTGGAAAAGGCTGGACTCGTGGACAGCACAGAGGCACTGATCATGGCAGCACAAGAACAGGCCCTAGATACAAGAGTCTACAAGAGGGTAGACTTGACCCAAGGTGCAGACTATGCAAAAGATGCTCCTGAGACAGTCCAGCACATCATAGCAGGGTGTAAGATCGCAGCCGGTTCAGCGTACATTGAGAGCATCACAACCAAGTGGCTGGAATAGTACAGGAACACTGTACCCAGTATGGAATAGAAGTACCCAAACTCACCAAGGGCCGCACCCCACAGAAGGTGGCTGAGAACAACAGGGCCAAGGTGCTGTGGGACTCAATCTCAGACAGACAAACAGGTCCTGGCTAACCAACCAGACATAGTGGTGGTAGACAAGGAGCAGAAGAAAGCTGTGGTGATAGATGTGGCCATACCAGCAGACGCCAACATCAGAAAGAAGGAACACCTAAAAGGTTGAAAAGTACCAAGGGTTGAAAGAACAGCTGGAGCAGATGTGGAAGGTCAAGGCGAGCGTGATCCCCCGCGGGTAGTAGGGAGCACTGGGGGCAGTGACCCCCAAACTGGGGGAGTGGCTCCAACAGATCCCCCAGGAACAACATCAGAAGCCCTTGGTTCAGAAGAACGCAGTCCGAGGAACAGCTAAGATACTAGTGGAGAACCCTCAAACTCCCAGGCCTCTGGTAGAGGACCCGAGCTTGAGGATGACACAGATACCACCCCAAGAGGGTGAGGGGGAAGTTTTTTTTTATATGTAGTAAGGGCTATGTGTTGTTTTGCCTCTTTTCCTCCACATTAAAAAAGGTTTCCCACCCAGAGAAAGAGTTTGCTGATGGCTGTAGATTGATTTGTGTTTTGTTTTTTTCAGATAATCACCACGCCTATAGAGACAAAACCACTATATTGTTTGCTTTTGTACAGAAATTCTCTTTCAGCAATGTCCTAATAATAATAATAATAATTTATTATTATTAATACTCTTAATAATGAGGAAGAATAATAACTTATAATGATGATAATAATTTCAGAATTAGAATCAGAACTTCATTGGATCCCAGGGAAATTTTGTTACAAAGTTATTATTATTGTTATTATTGTACCACATATAAAAAAAATAGAGATAATACTTATATTACAATATTTAACACAATATATAGAATAGAAATGTATGTGCTAGGTATATAATACACACACACATTAATAATAATAATTATATAATTTTATTCTTTATCTTTCTATCTGATTTAATTTCTAAACATTTAAATCTGAAGAAATCTTTAAATTTATTTTTCAGTAATTCCCCAATCGGATTTTAATTAAATTTTATTTCATTTGTATACTGAGCAGGGGCAGGAAGAGGAGCAGGACCATGGTGACAGGTTACAGGAGGGTGAACCTGAACTGTGTCTGACTGGATCATGGGAGGATTAACCTTGTTGGACTTGTTGGATAAAGATAATGGACACTAAGTGTGGCCTTTCGGACCACAAAGGGATCGCTCACTCCACCCCTAACAGTATCTGGCTTTGTGGCCCAGGTTTCCACAGGGCCAGCACTTCAATTACCTGATCTACAGCCTGGCATATGAAGAACTTGTGGCCAGTGTAGATTATATGGCCGCTGTAGGGACCCAAAGAGATTTTAAGTTTGGGATCTGAACTGTATTTAAGCAAACTTTAAACTCTGTACCAGATCCTGAACTTGTCCAGAGGATTAATTGGAGGTTGAAGGATATCAAAGTACTGTTCCAACTCCTCCCCTCTGGTAGGCGCTACAGAGCGCAGTACATCAAAAAACAAACAGACACAGGAACAGTTTCGACCTACATGACATCACACTGACCAACAGTTAATAACCCTGTATAATAACCCTAGGACTCTAATATCCACTGAATCTGAAAACTATTTATTATTTATTTTCCATTTTTGTACTGTATATTCTGCCATGCCCACATACCTCATGTACTTAAAGAAACCTGCACATAAAATATTTATTCCAGAATCCTTTGCACTATTGTATACAAATGTAATTGTTTTTTGTTTGTTTTATATTTGTACATATAAGTCTATGTTTATTTTGTTGAACTTGTTGTTCTGTTTATTTATGTTTATTCTGCGTTTGTACATTGAGAGCAACGTAAAACCGGAGTCAAATTACTTGTATATGTGCAGAAATCTGGCCAATAAAGTGATTCTGATTCTGATGTAAACACCACAGCCTCTCAGGGCACACATTCATACATAGTTACATTTTCTTTCATACACTGAACAAAAATAATTTTGTCATGAAAAGTCTGGGCACCCTAAGAACTCTGCAAAAGCCAAAGTACCTTTAAAATTGTACTAAAGTACAGTTTCAAGAAAAATCCTGATGTGACTGCAGATAAATTAGTAGACATTAATGTAGATTTTGGTCATACTCGTCTTTGTGTCTTTGTTTTCTCCCATAGTATTTTTTTTTTATCTATCTTCATCTTGTAATTGAAATGAATTGGGGAAAACATTTACATTAGTGTTGTGTATGAAATCAAACCAGAGTGATCAACAGACTCAACTGACTCACAGATATCAAACTTTATTGTTCATGACTTATTAAATTAAATGTGTGATTACTCATTTATATGCTGTGTGTGAAAGCTAGAGTAGGCAATGTGTTTCAGAAGCATTTTTGTTTGCATCCCAACAACAATCATTAAATTAAAGCCTTTGAAACAGAAGTCTGGTATCTGGGACTGTTGCAGGTAATAAGCTCAGCCAATCATTTCATTCAGCCCGTCTACCTTCCTACCTGTGCACGCTCATTGAGTGCTGTTCCTGTGACCTGAAATTGTTTCCCTCCGACATCATGAAGGATCTTCCAATTCCTTAGGTTGAAAACCTAATTGATAATATTTAAAACAAAATGTCATTCTCACAGCATTTACTCTGTAGTGTCTGTATGGGGATCTACACATCATATAATAGAAGACAGATACATGGTGAGATATAATGCGCAGTCACATTGTGTGTGATAAATACAATTTACTGCATAATTTAA